AATTCACAGATAATAAAGTAATATATGAGAGAGCATGATTATCTACGCCCTGAAGAAATATAGCATTTAATATATATATATATATATATATATATATATATATATATATCCCAAAAGACGATACCTAAAGTTTAGAATGCAGTTAAAAAAAAATGAAAGTTTTTATTTATAAAAGTTTTATTCTTATTTTAGTTTTAATTTCAAGCTAATAGATAAAAGTTAATATTTCCAATAAGCAAAATACTTTCAACCTGAATTTAAATTGATTGGAATTACTTTTTTCTAATTATCATAAAAATCGTCCATCTAATTATCATAAAAATCAATCTATCGTCACAACATAATTCTCTTTATTACAAAATCTTTAAAAAATAAAATATACCTTTCTGAAAGGTTGAGAAAAATTAGCTGGTTTAATGTTTAATTAATCTGAATTGAAACAAATATTATTTACATTTTGTTTAAAATATAGCAGTAAAACATTTTTAACGCGGAAATGAGTGTTTATATGAGATGTTAAAAAAATTAAATGAATAATATAATGTAAACGGCTTTTGTTATATAATTATTTAAATACCCAGTAATCTTAAAAAATAAAATATAAAGTCTATTAATATTTTATAGTCTCACTTACGAAGACGCTTGTTTAGAAAATGTTACTAATAAATTTTAATAAACTATAGATACCACTCTCATTTCCAGATAATGTTGTGTATGGACGTCTGTATTTACAAAAATCAGCACGGTTACACACAGACACATACACACACACAAATTCAAAATTCTTTTTAAAATATTGGGGGCGCTGAATTGTAGTAAGCTTTTCTATTTATGACTCGTAAATACAGTTGTTATTTAATAACAATATCATTTAACCGCTACAAATTAATACAGAATTTTTAAATATTTAAAATAAAAATAATTCTTTTTATAAAAATTCATTATTCATCGAAAAATGTTTTTCCCCCTAAGAAAATAGTGTCATAAAAAGCAATTAAAAGCTTTTCTAATTAAATAATGTCTTAGTTCTGTGACATTTTTATTGTACGATTCAGAGCAGATGTTCTGTAACTGTGGTTCCTGTATGACCAAAAACATTTGATGATTTTTAGATTCTACGAGGACTTGTTCTTATAACTAATATAAACATTAATCGCTACAAAAAGGAATTTCTTGAAATTTCATGAAATTAAATAAGTGGGGAGTAACAGATGTATATATATATATATATATATATATATATGTGTGTGTGTGTGTGTGTGTGTGCGCGCGCATATACACTATAGTTCAAAAGTTTAAAGCCACCCCAGAATTAGCCTAAAAAAAAATGAAAAAGAGCTCTTAAAAGCATTACAAAAAGAATGGAATCGATTATCAAACTTATACTTTGATAAACTCTTACAATGAATGCCAAATCTTTGTGCTGCAGTAATCGAGGCTAAAGGAGGATATTTTGACGAGAGCAAAATTTAATCATAAAATACTTTTTTTCTTTTTGTCATAATAAAATTTCTAATAAAAATCATGTCTCACTGTTCTTAACAATGTACAATAATTTTCCCTTATTTAAGATACTAAACAACTAATTTTGAGGCCAATTTAAAAAATTACCAATGGTGGCCTCAAACTTTTGAACTGTAGTGTGTATATATATATATATATATATATAGAAAAAGTTTAATTTATAACAAACAGTTATTTCTGATGAAAAATTGAGGACAATTTGAAATATCAAATATATATATAAATAAATAAATACTTTCATAAAATAAAACATTATAATTTTTAATTTGAAACTTTTTCTATATATACATATTAAGAAAGTATACGTGGCTTCTCATTATGCTATATATATATATATATATATATATCAAGATTTTCTAAAAGCGAAAAGTTTCAAAAATAATTTCATTAAATTCTGAATAAGTCCTGAGAGTTTCATGAAAATCCGACAATTACCTGATTTTTCCAAGAATTTCAAAATCAATGTGTTTTCCCGCCCAACCGGTTCACACTCCTCTCCGGTTTTTTGAACAGGAGTAGAAGTGTGTCTCTTGTTTCCTGTTTAGGATTAGGTTTCCGGTTGCTTCTAAAGTTTTCTTTCATTCTCTTTCACTCCTAGTAACTTCTCATAGAAATTTACGGTCCCACTTTGTCGCCAGAAAATAAGGTTTATAACTAAAATTTTGAAGATTCTAAAAAGGATTTTAAAAAGTTTACAGAAAAAACCCTTGGTCATTCCTCGTAATAATAACACAATGATTTGGACGATAAAACTTAATTTTTAATATGTTTTGGTAATTTTTTCATCATATATGGTTATTTTTAAGGAATCTTTGGCTATAAACTAAATGTAAAAGTTATACTTGCGATGTGAGTAAAATAGGTTTATTCTTCTTGATATAAATTTAATATTACATTTATCGCATTCTTAGAGATTATTTCATATCAATAATATTATTATTATATAAACAGGTTTTGTACAAAGTTGGCTGTTTTCTTCATTTTTCTTAAAGAGGAAAATATCAAAATGTATATGCTAAATATGTTAATCATGCTAAAAAAAAGTAGCTTAACAATTCAGGTATCACTACCACAAAATACCTTCATCACGTAAATAGAAAAAATGTAGATAATTAAAATTAAGTAAAAAAAAGGGTGTAGGTTGAGCGAAAGAAAGAGAAATCTGTGAGCAGAGTTCGAATTCCAGCCGAATTTGTTGCATTCATTTTCGCACAAATATCCTTTGGAATGGTATAAATCAATGCTTTCTCTCAGCCTAACATTGCATTAAATAACAGCAAAGACTAGGCTCTTTAATCGTGGTTGGCAACCAGTATAGGAGAATGACAAGTGAATTCAAAACCGGTTTGTAGGCCCGGTGAGGTACATACAGCCAAAGAAAAGATTATGGAGTTCACAATTAACAGCCGCGCGGAGTTGTGGACTGTCTGATTTCGAGTGAGGTAGTAAAAATAAAATTAAGTAAAATATGTAGATAATTATTTAAAATTAAATCAAACTTATTAAAAAGTCGATTCAATATTTGTAAAATTAACCTTGTCGTCACAAATAATAATGTAGTTTTTAAGTGTGCAAAAAGTCAGTATGAAACAGTTTCATGAAAAACCATAAAAGTCCATAATTTTATTTTATATTATTCAAAAAGAAGACAGAAACAGAATAAACCCTTTATTCGAAAGCAAAGAATTCAGTATTTTTATTTGTTATGCACTGCACTGACACATGTGAGCCTCAACTTTTTAAAGTATGTGCGTGCTCAGACGCACCGCGGAATTAATTTAGCGTATGAAACTGAAACTTGTGTGGCACACAAGAATGCATTTCTCATGCCAGTGCTATAACCGAGAAAGGCTGTTTGAATTTCTGCAGTCAAAAATTATAGTAGCAAAAGATAGGAAAATCAAAATCGTTAACTTAAAAAAAATAATCATATGGACTTACTTTCTAATTACCGACAGTATTTTTCTTTTTACTACGAAAAGAATACGTTAGATTATTGAACAAAATATTCAAAACAAAATATTTATTTATCAAAACACCAGTAAAAATGAATAAGTGGGGAATAAAATATTGATTAAGATTTTTTTTTTTTAGTTATATTAATAATAAAAAAAGTGAGTTGTCGATAATAGGAAAGTACCTTTATCACAATCAACCAGAAATGCTACCTCTCTTTTTTACACTCTATGTTGGTATTCATATAACAAACAACATACTGGAATCGTAGCCTTGATTATGAGGAATTAATTTATATACATTTTATTTAAATAATTATTACTTACTTATTTACTCACGTGTAGTTTGATGGTAAATTTGTATTTAAAAGCGATGAAGTATAAAATAATCGTTGTATAATGGAATTATTTTAAAAAAATTCAGAATTAGTTGCTGTATATCGACTCTTAAAACTAAATTTCTCCAACTTTCTTTGTTTCTATCGAGAAGAGAAAAATCGAGAAAATCCACTGACAAGTTATGTATGCGTGTGGCCAATTTGATAATTCTACTACTCGCAAACCCGCATGTGTGTCCCATTCATGAGTAAAGTTGATGTTTTACGCCTATATGTGTAATGTGTGTGTGTGTGTGTTTAGAAAGAAAGAAAGAAAGAAAGAAAAGATCATTTCCCTCTCCGCCATCTGGGAAATCGTGCTGGACATAAGATTCATTCTCATTTCATTCTCATGGGGTACATCTTTTTTACCTTTTCTCTGTTCCTTGCTAAATCCTATCTAAACCTCATCTTTCTTACTCGCTTTGTGCCAAGTGACTATTAGAATAAGGTGGTCCTCTCAAGTAAGAAAAAAAAAGAAAAAGAAAAAAGGTATTGCTATATCATCATCATCAGCGTTAGCACCAGCAGGAGCAGCAACCATGATAACTGAAACAGTAGTAGAAGTTATTATTATTATTGTGGGTGTTCTTGTTGTTGTTGTTGTCAAAGAAAAAGAAGAAGGTAAAATAAGGAGCAGTAGTAGTGTAAAGAGAAAAAGAAAAAGAGAGAAAGAGCGAGAGCAAGCGGAAACAGTGAACTCATAGCAGTGGCTAAACAGACAGCAGGGTTACCACCTACTTCTAAGTAAGCAACGTCAGACAACGCACTCTCTCCCTCGCTAACACCACTATAATAAATTCTACACTCCAGAAATGTTATTCGAATCACATGAACCAGCGAGAACCTTATTTGGCCTATTCTTAATAATATTTACATAAATTTTTCGATAGCCTTCTATCTCTAGCTGGTCGTTAGGACAGTAGATGACGTCACGAGCACAACGTCCGTGCTGGCTGCGTTAGCGACGGGTTTCCCGGTAGTATTGCAAATATGAAAGCCTCACTACATCGTGGACCGTCTCCTGAGGCTACCCTTTAAATTTCACCTTCCATCACTAGACAGTACGAAACACGAAATGAAGTGGTCCAGGCTTGTCTTTGTCTTACTCAAAATATTAATTAGCTTATTGCCTGTCGTATCCATGAATAATAATTGTACTCAGGATATCTCGTCAACCCTACGGAGCCTAACTCGTCAGGCTGACGTGATCTGCGAGGCTGCTGTGAAGAATGCCCCGTCGTATTCAGCTCGGCCCCCGGGGGTCGTTTTCGACAAGTTCGTCAGCAACCGCCCAGTCGCCGGGGACATTGTCACTATCAAAGTTCGAAGAACATTGAAAGGCGGCAAAAAACTTAATATTACCTTGTTATCCGTCAAAATACCCAAGCGTGATATTGTCAACAGCTGTGTGCTTCAGCTCAAGAAAGGTGACAAACTTATATTTTTTTTGAAGTATGCAATGATGGATGGTTTACGTTTTGAGATGATAACTCCACCTGTAAATCCAACCAAGACACTCAACCGGAAACTTAGAAGACACTTAAATCGGACAAGTGAGTGACATCCTCTCTCTGTCTCCCTCTCTAAACGTTACAATTTGTGTTTACATCTTCTATAGTTTTACACTTGTATGTTTTAAGTGCTCATATTACCACAGATTAAGTTGTGTAGTAAAAAAGTATGTCAGGTTTTTATTAAGAGCTGGAATAGTTACAACTAAAGTTTCTATTTAGTTGACCAAGTGTCTGCCCATCAATTTTATTTTATTGCGACTCTTGTTACTTTTGTTTTGTTATTAGCAATTATTTGAACGTGTTGTTGTGTTTTTTTAATGTTTTTTAAACTGTCTTCTAAAAAATGTTTCGCAAGTTAAATTAACAACAAAAAAAAAAATGAAAAATTTGAAAAATATTCCCTATGTGTGCAAGCGTGTTTCTTTTTTTTGTGCTTTTTTCACCTCTCGAAATATTTTCAAGTATATGTTTTCTTTTTAAACTAATAATATTGAAAAGCTTCTCCTAAAACAGAACATATCTGTACACACAGTACACGTGTTAAAAAAAAAGTTCTTTTATATCTGTTACCTGCAAGAAAATGTAATGATACCGTGAAGAGAGGAATCGGCTTCTGAATTCGCGGCTTGTAATGTCTCTTAAAAAAATGAAAAAGTATCTCTCACACACACACACACACACACACACACACACACACACAAGAATATTCTGAAGAAATCTTTTACATGTTCTTATTAATTTTTGTCTGTACACCTAAACGTGTTTTTGAAGTAAAACCCTAACATTTTATTTTTAAACTTTGCATCGGTTCTTTCCCAGACGAAAGCATTGTGAATAGGAAAAGAAAAGACAAATGAAGTCATTGAGTGCAGAACAAGTGTTTTTTTTAAAATGATTTTATTTTCTTTTAATTTTAACGGGCCGTATTTCATTTTTTAATTCCTTAAGAAATTGGAAAGAACAACAAAATTAAAAGTCAAATAATCTTTGATTAAGTTTCAATTACTTCCTTATTAGCCCCACTTTTTTTTCCTTTTTTGGAAAGATAATAAAACCAGAAACCTCTTCTTGAAAACTTCTTTGTTTTTTAGTTTGTTGTTTAATGTTACATTTATGTGCATTCAGTTGTGGTATATGGTCGAGTTTAACGTCCGAAACAATTTTCGTATACCAATTACGTAGCCTCATATTCTGAGTATAACTTTTCTCTATGAATAAAAAAAGTGAAATATAATTCAACTTTGGTGACCAAAACTTACAACTTTGAAACCGAAGAGTTCGGACTTATCTCATTTCAATCTGAAAAGTTTTGCATCAGAAATAAACCGAAAAATACTAGTCAGAAATGCAATAATTATCACATTGTTAACAAATGCTTTTAAATTCCTCGAGTAAAAAAAAAAAATGACGGAATTCATTACACGTTGTTCTTTTTGTTTTGTTTTGTCGAAGTCTGGACAAGCACAAAATATGTATGAAACAAAGTGAAATATTCAAGTGAAATTATTCAGTATTTGTTGGGATGCGAATCATTTTCGGACACTAAATTTGACGATATTCAAATTGTGTGCATAAAGAAAATACTTCTTTCATAAATCATTATCTGATCTCGTCTCACAGTAATTTTCTTTTAAACCAAAAAAAAAAGAAAAAAAAAAAGTCTTATTACTTCAAACAAACGTTGGTAGAATTTTTTTCTCTTCATTCCCGTAAATGAGTGAATCATTAAATCCGGCTTATCGTGTGTGCGTGTGTGTATAATTGTTTAGCGGGTACTTGAAATTATTATGATCTATTTAAATTTAATATTTTTTTGGTTTTCGTAAGTTTATTCTTTCCTTTTAGTCCGTTCATATTCGTTTTTATCGAAATAAAAACAGTTATTTTACAAACTTATTAGCACCATTCAATTCTCAGCTCAGGTCTCAACCGCGAAAATATTTTTTATTAATAGTTTGTCCGTTTATTATTTACTAATTTTCACTATATTTTTTTTTTTACATCTCCAGAAAAAAAATAATTGAAATTATAAAAAAAATTAAAAAGAATTTAAAAAACATTATATTCATTTGCTAAATTATTATTTTTTATGAGTATTTTCCATTATTTTCTAGGTGGATTTTTCTTCTTTTTTTAAAAATAAAATGTACCAAAAGTACTAAACCTTAAGATCATTCTACTATTGCGAATTTTATTGCTCGAATGATGGATCAAATAGTATATCTCTTGAGTCTGACCAACGAACTTCACTAGATTTGAGAAAAGTATTTTTCCAGTTGCGTTAAATTCTACATGTGCTTAAAGGGAGGTAAAAGAAACCGATTGTTTTTTGTTGTGCTTTTTTTCCTTTCTTTAATCAACTTTCATCAGTTTTTCAGTTACTTTCAATAAATTTCTTCGCTTTTTAATCATATGAATAAGTTATAAGAATATTACGTGGGGGCTAGGATAGATTAATTTCGCTATTTAAAAAAAAATTCGCAAAATTCATGAGTTTGTATTGCTGTATTTTTTGTTGTTTTTAAGTTTAAAAATCCAAGAACTTAAAATAAAACTTTTTTTGTAGTTAAAAGGAGATTTTTTTCCTTAAATGACTGATATGAAAAAAAGAATATTAATTTTAGATTCTGAAAAAAACGTTGCGCAATCCGAGTTGAAAGGCGTCTTTGAGAATTAAATTTAAATGTCTGGAATTTAAAAAATAAATTTATCTGAAATGTGAGTAAACTTTGAAGCCTTGATTTATTTTTGTACAGCTGCTAAATTTACACGTGTTTCTTAAAGAAAAAATCATTCTCGTCAAGAAATTTAAATCCATTTTTTTCTACAAATAATTTTTTAGAATTCAACACTTTTTTTGCACTCACTTTTGGCTAAATAACAGCGCAAGTAAATTTGGGGATGTGTTTTTTTTCTTTTTTCCTGAAGACTTAATGCTTAACGGCATGGACACTAGAATTTAGTATTTTTCTTCTTTCAGAAACGACTTGCGACATTCGTTTTGATTGTCTTTTCATAGAATAACTATGCGTGCGTGTGTGTGTGTCTGCTGTTTTTTGTTTTTTTTTCCTATTTTAAAATACACTTGTTGCATTGTTCACTTAGATTAAATCGTGCAGAACTAATGAAATCAAATGTATTAAGAGTATTTGACAATTATTGCACATTTTACAGCTTGAACTTATTTGCTTACATACAAGGATATAATAATAATAATATAATACAGAGTGAGTCAAAAAGCAACCCCCGATTTCTATACAGTTGTCAATTGATTATTTGTTTAGTTTACTACTCTGTTTATATTAGCATTGAAGAAGGTAGAAATCCATGAAAGGCATACTTATTTAACAACTGCAAAACTAAAAGAAAACGAATTATCAGGAAGAAAAATATTAACATGAATTCCGAGAATCTGGGCGCTATTTTTGACTCACCATGTGCGTGTATTTTAGGAAGGTGCATTTATGATTGTAGATGTATTGTAGCCTTATGATTAAAAAATCGTTTTTATACAACGAATGTTTTTATTTTAACATAATCTCTTTCCTTCTTGTCTATTCACTGGTTAATAAATCACGTAGAGATTAAAATAATATACAATGAAAATTTCAGATCAAAATTTATTCGGCTGAGAACTATATCGATGAAAATTGAAAACTGATTATATTACTAAAAGAACGAAATGTAAGAATTCTATTGTTTTATTTTGTTTTGATTTTTACCACAAGGGTGGTAATAAACAAGTATCAGTCAGTGTGGGTAATTGAATGGGTCTTTCCCATTTTCATTAAATTTTTGCCATACATACATACATACTTACATATGCCCACCCAAAATCGTTTACTTTTTTATTTTATTTATTATTTATTTAATTTTGTGGATGCTTTATTGCTTATCCTGCAAAATTGTCAATAAATAGATAAAAAAAAGAAGCTATAACCTGAGTAGAAAAAGAAAATAATATGCGTATATCATTCATTTTAATAACGTTATTAACTTCAATACTTCATTATCCGTCTACTCAATTAAATTCGGTTGAGTGAAAAAAGGTCATTTTTTTTTCATTACTACCACTGAAAGAATGCTTTTGTTCTTTTTGTACCGAACTTGGTAAACTTTGCTTGGATATAACATCGAGTTTAGCATTCGATAGAATTTTTGCAAACCAACTGAATCTTGGATTGCTTTACCTAGCCTCATAATCTGAGCAGACATTTTTCTCTACAAATCAAAAATTAATTCAACTTTTATAACAAATAAGCTTAGAATTTGTGTAATCGAAAATTATTAAAATAAAAAATGTGGTGTTTTTCTAGTTTCCATCTGAAAGGTATTGTATCAGAAAACGAAAAATAGCACATAATCATAAACTACTTAACTCCATGAAAAAAATAACGAAATTTATTTTATTTTTATTTTACATTTATTTTCTAAAATCTGTCAAGTTGTGTCAACTTTGCGTGAGTTATTAAGCAACGAGAACGTATTTTTTTTATGGATTTACAAAAAAAAAATACCCACTCAAAGTATAGAATCTTTGTGAAAACGCCGCAAAAGAAAAAGAAGCTATGATACCAAAGTGGTAACAGTCAAGAATTTATTCCTATCTACATGAAGAAATACTTGTGGGGAAAATTAAAAATGTTATATCAGAACACTGAATAGTCATGCATGGGGTATTATTTCATTTATTTATTAAAAGATGCTTATTAAAATGATATCTGATGCTAGAGATTAAGTATTTGATATGCGAAAATAGATTTGAACGCTAAAAACTCGACCATACCGTATTTACTTTATAAAAGTGTTGCTAGTGAGATTAAAACTATGAAGTAAAACATTCATTACTCAACAAGCTCAAGCAGGTTTTGAGAAATATATTTCATTTACTTGTCAATTCAACTGGTGATTATTTATATTTTGTCTCTTACTAAGGTTTCACCAAAGACAGTTACTTTTTTGTTACAAAAAAAACAAAAACAAAAAACGAAAAAACAAATAATAAACACTACTCATTTTTGTTGTTTAAAAAAGACATT